ACAGCTTGATGGGGGGGGGGGGTTGAAATCTATGTATTAGGCAGGCGGGAGGGGGGGTATGTCTCATTTCTTTCAGTTACCTGGATTAAAAGGCAAAGACTGCCAGATCAATTGGAATAGGCAACATCTGGAAATTTAAAACCTGTAACTTGTTTTGCCATTCTTTTGGAGCTGGGTGCCTTGGCCTCACTCTGGCTGAACTCTCACGCAAAGAAAAGGGCTCGGGGGAGGCAGCTGAATCAGTGGCAGGAAGCTCACCTTGAACTGTCTGGCCAGATGTTGCTTGTGAGTCTCTTCCACTTGCTTGAACTTGGATTCCAACCCCCTCATCTGATTCTCCATTTTTTCAACGTATTGTAGATCCCGCTGGGTCCGCCTGTCCAACACCTCTATTGACTGTGACATGTTTTGTACCTGGCCAGGAAGGGGGAAGGAAATATAAAGGAAACGGAAAACATCAGGTTAACAACACAGTGAACAGGAACAGATTTTAACAGGCACAGTCCGGCTTCCACGGCAAGCAATTTATGGGGGAGGGGATTAACAAGAAGATTTGCATACAGCTGCTCTTGGAATGGTTCCAAATGGAAATGAGGGGAAAGCCTCATGATCCTGAGCGTGTCCACTCAGAAGGAGCACAGCCAGAGACTGAGAGAGCCACACTGTGCCCAGACCCCTGATTGCACCTGGCTGGTACCTGCACTTGGGTTGCCAACGTCACAGGGAAACCCCAGCCTAGTCTGTTCCTGTGCCATCTGCAGCAGTGGGGGAGTGAAGCTGTTTTCAGAAGGTGTTCAGTGTCAACACCTGCTAATAACAATGGATCAAGCTGCTGACAAAAGCACAGGAGTGGGGGATAGTTAAACAGCTGGCAACGCCATCTGCCATGGCGAGATCACATTTGGGGTCTTTCCAGGGCTCTCTCTCCTGAACAAAACCCTGCTGCAAGAACTTTGTGGCAGACTGGGCCCTGAGAAACTGTTGGGCAAAGACTCAGGGCTCCCTCCAAGGAAAGACAATCAGCTTCCTCAACCATTTATTTGGCTCCATTCTGGAAAATAATCCATGTCTTCTTGCTGCAAATGAAGACAGGCACCCAGAGAAAGAGATGCCTGCCCCTTGTAGATGCCCCCAGTAGGGGTCAGTCAACAGAGGTCGCCATGACTTCCAGGTGCACACACACACTCACACGCACGCACATATAAAAAAATCATCATCTCATTTGCCAATGGCAGACATTGATAGCCAAAGCGCAGAGCAGGAACATCGGCTACAAGGATCGCTGCCAGGCAGGGGCCACAATCTTGGCTTGATGGTACTCACTGGTACGGAGTACCAGCAATGTTGGGGGGGGGGGCGCTCTCCATGTCCTGATGGAGAAATTGGTGTGAATCAGCATTTTTTAAAAAAACAAACAAAGCACTGCTTGTTAGAGTATCATGTACCAGGCAAGAGTAGAGGGAAACAGGCCCTGCATAAATCAATCACAAGCGTTTTGGAGGAATGCATCACTTTTCCATTTTGCTCCCCCCAAATTGTTAACAAAGCCAGCATAAATGATTTTCCACTATTGTAAATATTTTTTTCCAAAACTGTGACACTACAGGGCATGACCACAGCACATGGATGTAATTGCCCAGCACACGTTGATGTAATCGCCTTGCTGGTTGCAATTCCTCCAACATTTTGTGTTGTTTGTATTACTTATTCTTCCAAGACATACTGGAGTGATGTACCATCGATGCAGGTAGTTTCAAAGAATCCTCCCTCAGGGCTACTGATACAGTTTTCCTTGTTTGAGTCACCCATATTTTATTCCATATATTTTGTTCTGTTTTTATCCCAGTATCATTTCCTCATATTGTTTTCAGACCATTTGATATATTTGTATCTATTTCAACTCAGTAAGAATATATTTTAGAAGTTATTCCTTTTAAATTATTCATATGTTGCATTAGAATCTGTTCAAGTTTCATCATCTTTCTGGTCATAGTTTGCCTTACTGTAGGATTCACAATTAAGTAACATAATTGATGGAGAAGAATCCAATTCATTGAAATTCCTTGCAACTTTTCTTTTAATTTTACTACAGTAAGGGGAATTCCATTTTCATAAAAGTCTCTCATCCTGTAAATCCCCATTTCTTTCCATTTAACATATTATTCTGGTTTATTTATGTAAGAAAAATTGGGGTGTAACGTAAATGCAAGCAGTGAGGATATTTCTGGAATTAATTTGTTTTTCCATTTATTCTAAAAATTTAATGCAGTGTATATATCTCAACCCATTTTATATCTCTTACTTTCCCCCCTCCGAAAACAGTTTTTTAATTAATTCCAGATGTTCCCCGTTTGCTTCCATAGCTATCTATGGTTTATCAGAAGATAGTATCCCCCAGGTATGGGAGCAATGCTCCCACCTGGTTTGCCTCACAGTGATTACTTACACTGGTTCCTCCCCACCCACCCACCAATGAAATATTGGGATACCTAAATCATTTTGAGTTTCATATTGTGTTTTTGGTTTAATCTTTAAATATAGCACTCCAGATTTTTTAATGATTAATACGTAGTCCTGCTATTGTTCCATATTCGTGGATTTCTCTCATTAAGCTTCTTTAGGATTCACAGTTAATATTGCCAAGTCATCAGCAAATATACTGATCGTATGTATTTGACCGTTTATTTCTAGACCTCTTTACAGTCATTCCTAAGGGTTCTAACGAGAGGACAAAAAGCATGGGTGACAGGGGAACATCCCTGTTAAATTCCTCTGGCCAGGGGAAAGCTTCCAGAATCCATTTACTCGCACTCTAGCTTTTGATTTTTGATAGACTAAACGGTATTTCATTCATGAAATATTGCCCAATATTTAATTTTCTTACTTTTTCTTCGTTTTAAAGCCAAGGTTTTAATCCTTATGACTGCAGATGGCTCAATCAAGAAACTCTGGCCCTGGGGATGCCGGCTCCCCTGAGGTCAGGCGCTCCCCTCCCTCCCTCCTATCCAGCCTCCCGGGCACCAGCAAGAGCTACAGAGTCCTGCCTGGAATCTGCTCCCTGATGGAGGTTCAAATGAGATGTGCTGGAGGCAGCCACAGGGCCCCCCAACCTGGTCTGAACTGTGGAGAGGTCTGGCTTGTGGAGTCAAAGGGGACGCCCGGGGAAGAGAGCTGCTCCCCTCCCGAGGCCACAATTCACTGCCTCCCTGTCAAATTATGCCCCCCCTCCACACACGGACACCCATCCCTGTTGCACACCTGGGCTCACTTTTCCTACGAGAGCCCCCAGGAGAAAACGGAGAGTGGGGGAGACGTCGCAGGGCAGGAGGCCGCCAGTGGGAGACGTGTTCGTGCCGACTGGCCATCAAAAGCAGGCGGCCTCAGCCCTTCACATCCCGTGGCTGCTGAAACCCAGGTCTCCCCCAGACGGACCGGCAGCCACACGGGCAGGGCCAGCCAGGCCTGGGGCCCACTCCCTTGCTCTGCCCTGCCTGTCCCTTGCTCCCTTGGAACTGCTGGCCATTTTATTTTTTTACCAGGCCAGTTTTCCAAATCAGACCCATAACTGTGCTGCCCAGCTGCCCGTGCCGTCTGGAAAGCAGCCCTCTGGGGGTGGGGAGCCAGTGCCAGCTACGCTGCCATGGGAGTTGGGGAGCTCGGTCTGTGTCGGGTTAATTGCTACTGCATTCCTTTCTGTGCTTTTCCTGCTTTGCGCCGAAATGCTTATCTATACAGATGTGCAGGAGGGAGTTGTATTGTCTGGGTTTCTCCTAGGTGCCGTGGGAGAGTGTTGGTTCTCAGCTTTAGCTACCTAACGGTCTCCAAGCTTTATCCCGCGCGCGGGAGGGTGCCTAATTGGCCGGTGCTCGGGGGGGGGCATACGAATACCCTATATCCTATTATGCCCAAGGGGCCGCCGCCATTCTTAACAGTGCCTATGTTACTGCATCTATAGCTCTGCAATAGAAGTATTACCGTTCCCGAATGCGTGTGCTTCGTTGTTGGCTGTGGGTTCTGACAGCCAGGGGCACAGCCCCTAAGGCCAAAACACAAAAGGGCATCATGAAGCACAACAGACCTTCCAGATGCAACCTCTTCCTCTGTTTTCTCCTGGCATGCCTCGAAATTATTACTGACCCACCTGACGGGCCTTCTGGCACCCCCCCGGTCAAAGCCTTTCTTTTGGCCCAGGCCTTTAACGGACGGTTTCTGTCCTGTCAGGCTGTTTGGATGCTCTGCTGCTAGCTAGCCTGAGGACTGCTCTGCGGGATGTCATCTTAGGCTGTTGGATGTTTGTTTTGCTATTTTAATATTTAATAAAATATTTAATGAAAATACTTAGTATTTTAATATTGATAATACTTCTGTTGTTATGCTTATGATCCCATTGTGTTGCTTTCATACTGGGATCTGCCTTAGGGGTCCAGAACTCCTCCACACAAACGGGCCGCTTCCATCTCTCTTTCTGTTGCAACTGACTCACACAGAGACCTCCCCAGAAGAACGTCCTGTTTTCAGCCACTGAGAGAAATGCCGTTCTCTCCCTGCCCTCCATCAGCCAGCTCGGAGCCCCATTTTGGCAGGGAGACGGGCCTGGCCCCAGCGAGAGCCCTTGGACAGCTTGTCCTGGCAGCAAAAGCTCTGCTCTCTGCGAAGGGGACGGCACTGAAGCCCCTTCCAATGGCTGAAAAGAGCTTCTGTGACCTACATCAGGATTCCTCACTGAGAGGGCCCCCGTGGCTCACGGGCAGAGCCTCTGCTGGGCGTGCAGAAGGTCCCAGGTTCAGGCCCCAGCAGCATCTCCAGTTAGAAGAGGACCAGGCAGGAGGGGACAGGAAAGACCATTTTCTGCCCAAGACCCTGGAGCGCCGTTGCCAGTCTGAGCAGACAATGCTGACCTTGACTGGCTCAGTAGGAGGCAGCTTCTTGTGTGTGTCCATGTGACTAAACCACAGCCCTCTCCACAGGCAACGCATAACTGACTCCTGGCAGGCCCCTGCTGCCTGCACCGGGGATGGGCCATAAGGACAGCAGATTCTTCTGATCTCTCTGGACTATTAAAAGACAGTCGCATGAGAACCAGAGTACAGGACAGACACACACACAGAGGTTCTGTCCTTCCCCTTTGATGCCGCCAGCTCTGCTCTCTTGCTCAACCTCCTCAGCGTTTCTGCACTCTAGAGAGCCCGGCCTTCCATTTTAGTTTGGCTGCTCCCTTTGTGGGACTCTCGCTCTCAAAAACGTTAATGAAAAATAATGTGATTTGCGCCAACTGGAGATTCCTTCCCCCGCAGATTTATTTGGGGCAACAGCATGGCTTTGATCTTTTCATGGCTTTAATTAACCAGCATGCATTGAACTTTCAGGATATTTTTGTCTCTTGGATCACCATCAGAACAATCAGTTGCCTCACTGAAACAACACTTTTATCTTCTCTGGACTCCCGAAAAATGAATGCCTTTTACAGACCTGCAATAAATTTGTTCCCATAATTCCCATCTGTAATGGGAATATCAAACAGTCTTCAAATGTTTTCTGGATTATCAGAATTTGATATCCTGTGATGCTGGATTAGAATATTTGACATTTTACAGTATTTGGTGGTTGTATGTGCAATGTTGTATAGTTGTATGAAACTACTCCATTGCATTTTTGCTAACTAACATTCAAAGGAATCTGGGATTTGACTTTTGGCACTTTTAAGATTTCACGTTCAGTGCCTTTCAAAATAATCACAGAAACCTAAAAGATCAAAACCTCTAAAACAATAATGCTTCAAATGTTAAGGGAAAAATCATATTTGAAGTGTGAATTCACATAATTCAAAACACGAGTGGCGAAACTGAAAAAGTTTATTAATTCTGAATACTCCGTTCAGCTCCAGTTCTTTAAAATATTTGTATTCTGCCTTTACATGTGGCTCAAGGTGGCATACAAATCACAATTTAAAACATACAGAATGAAAGAATAAAACAGACAGTATAAAAATATACATAACCTTCATATAGCAATTCAGAGTCATTAGTGCTCATCCATGAGACCTCAGCCCAGATAAATAAGCAGCCTCACACATTTTGGGACTGCCCATCCACTCCTCTTTTTGCACAATTCCACCCCTAAAGAGGAAAGGAAGGGAGGAGGGAAAATAAAGTACAGCCCCTACTTCATGGCTAGTTAGGGGTGTGCAAAAATAAAATAAAATTAGAGTCAGGTAGTATTTTTTAAAAACTTGAATCAGACTCTTTAATTGTGGAGTTTAAGCTAGTCACACTAGGAAAGAGGGGGATTGGTTTTAAAAATACAAGAAGTGGGTGATGGGTGCTAAATGTTCCCACCTCCCGTGCCTTAGTCTATGGTGCTCGGTTACTTTCAGCACTTTTCCCTCAGCTTGGCTGACTTCCTGCATCACAGTCTTGCTGCCCAGGAAAACAAAACCTAACGTGGGGTGCCAGAATAAATGGTCACATCATAAGGCTTCCATTGGCTCCCAAAGGTCGAAAATAATTCCGCTTGTATACAAAGCATTTACTACATTTATAAATTGTATATGGTTCGTGTTAGACCTTGATTAATAAATTCCTGACTGCACAACTCTGCTGCTAGTCAGAGGGGGAAAATAATGCTCTGATTCTGTATAAGGCAACTAAATTTGATAACTGACAATTTATTATCCCAAAGCTATTAGTCGTGGATCAAAGGAAAGGCTACGTTTAGTTTCCTTTTTAAAAAGTTTTAAATTGCTCTGCTAAAAGCTGTATGCAAAGATAAAGTCAAGTTCCCGTCTAAGGTGCATTGGAGCGCCCTCCTCTCCCCTCCTTACCTTTTCTAGTAGTTGGCGCAGTTGCTTTGTCCTGGCGTCACGTGAACACATGGTCTGTTGGGGGGCCACCACTGTGCATATGCACCGCCCTTCACTGTCCTGGGCAGAGCTGTATACCTGCCAGCTTTCCTCGGGGTTGGTCGGCAACACCTGGTTTGACACACAGGAAAGGACGTCTGAGATGCAGCACAGAGAACAAAATGCAAAAGGGGCTGGGGGAATGGGAAGCACCAGGGAGACCCAGATAACAGCAGCAGTCTAGAGAGAGAGAAGGAGGACCGCGAGGGGAGAGCGCCTGAGGGAATGGGGGCAGAGGGGGGAGAGGAAAGCTGTTTGTGGCCGAGGGCAAATCCATAATGTCTCTTCCACTTACACAGTCCAAATTGCTTCACATACGTCTATGCCAATAATCCTTACAACAGTTGTTCTTACCCCCATTTTGCAGATGAGGAATCCCCAGCAGAAGCAAGAGCTGCCCCAGGCCTTGGCTGGTCCAGTTCAGACCCTTTGATTTGCTCCTCCATTGCCAATAATCCAAGCTGAATAGCAGGTGTAGAGG